CCAACCCCCCTCCCCCCAAAAAATAGGATTCCTTCTTAGAGATGACACCAGTATCATGGCCCTGTTGCCTATAATTGGGTCCTGTGGTGGCCTTATATCCATTGAGCACTTGTAGAGTGCCAGGGGACAGTTGAGTACGTACCTCTTCTCCTGCATCTCCCTGAATAGAAATACATTTACCCCATCTAGATTTGAAAATTATAGGACTTGCTCTAAGGTTAGGTTGAGGGGTTCCTCTACTTCTTCATCCATTTTTGCTTTTGTCTGGCATTGTTCTTGCATTGCATGTGAGTGGGGTGCTGCTGCTTAAGGGTTTCCCTGGTTGAGAGGTTATTCCTATGGTTGGTGATTGATTTCCCAAGGCATGAAAATGGGATTCAGATGTGTTAGCATCTCCAATGGGAAGAAAGGAAGATCTGGGAGGATATTTTGTGGTATGGAGTTGAAGTGAGGTGACATGTTCCACTGATGGATCATTGTTTGGACTAGGTTGAGGTTCATTGAAGGAGCTAGAGGGTGCAGAATATTGTTGAGCCAAATTTGATTCAGGTAGTTGCTCATTGCTAGGCCCATCCCCTTCGATATTAGCTGAGCTAGATATTGTATATTATGAAGGATCACTATTGCCTCATGGCCATTGACCTGGATGCTAAATGAGACAACATGTCCCATTAGCCCCATTTCCATCCACGAAAGTTATTGGTAGTCTTGGGCTTGAGGAGGTTGGACATAGATCACTTGAGGTTCTACTGGTTGTGGTGGTGCTTCATGTAAATTTTCCATCGTTGGATTCCTTAGTTTCCTTATTATTTGGATTAATCTGTTCCTCCTTCTTAGAGAAGATGAGATTCTTGGCATTTTGAGTGGATTATTTGGTATTTAAAGGGTTTCCAACAGGCGTGGAATTTTGGCTATCAATATAGGGGATGTGATTGGTGGTAGTGGTAATGATTGGAGGGTTTTCCTGCATGGCCTCTGAATGACTACCTTTTAGATTTATAGGGTGAATAGAAAAGGATTTGATATCCTTGCCACGATCTCTAGTAATGGCCATTTGTTTGTCATTTGATTCATTTGAAGCCATGTGGATGACATGCTTTGGGTGTTTGATATTCTCAAACTTTAGGGAAAGATTGTTGCTTGTATGATCGGCAATGGAAGGATTTGTAGTTTGTTGATTAGTATGTTTAGTGGCTTGCCATGTAGAGTTAGTGGTCTTATTAAGATTAATTATATCTTTGTTAATATCTATAAGCATGCCATTGTTTTGATTAGTAGTAGAAATAGACACTTAGGAGTCTGGCATTGCCACGTCGTTTACTTTTGTGTCCAAATGGCTAATTGCATGGGAAGTTTATGGAGTATTATTTTTTTCATTTAATTTAATATTGTCCAAAACCATGTGCTCTTCATCTGGGATGGTGAAGTAGTTTTGTATCGGAAGAGTGGTTTTGTCCATGATCTTCTTGGTTGTAGTATTTTTATTAGGATCCTTAGACTTATATTGTAAAATTTGAGTGTCAATGTACTTACCTGTGTTAGCATTGTAAAGATTTACAGTGATACCTGGACCTTGGAGCTTCTCCTTTGGAATGTGGTTACTTGCCGGATTATTTTTCACATTCTTTCTCTTGCTTTTGTTGAAGGTGACAGTTTGTCATTCTCCCTCTTGGTCCTCCTCTTTTGGCCTTGGTGTAGTAGTATTTGAGCAGAAAATTACTTTTGTGTTTTGCTGCCTAAATTTACATAAGGTAGAAGGGTGTCCCAACCTTTCACATTTTAGACATAGTAGATTTTCACCCTCATAGTGAATATTTTGCTTGTGAGTGACAATGTAGATGAAGGGTTGCACTGGAGTGTCCAGTGGAATTTCCACACAGAGCCTAGCATAACGACCCCTCATTGTTGTTGATGTACAAACATCAATTTTCAGTAGACGACCAATGGAGTTGCCAATTTTTTGTAAAATTTTTCCATCATAAAACTTCGTCGGTAATTGTAGCAATCTAACCCATATTGCAGAGGTAGTTAGTTTTTCGTTGGTAGCCACAAAATTTGGTTTCCATCTGATTACAGAGAGGTGATGCCCATTTACAAATCATCGGCCTTGATGGAGTGCTTTCTCCATGTTTTCCTTTTTTTTGAATTTGATGATAAAATAGTCTTCTCCCAGATCAATTAAGGAGAAGGTTTCTGTTGGTCTCCAAAGCTCTTGGATTTTTTTTAAAAATATTGGTGCATCATGCGTTTACCAAACAGTTTGATAATAACTGAACATTGTCATGGTTCATAAATTCTATGTTTGTCTTCCTCCGTAAGAGTGATCAATTTAATGCCTTGAGTGGGAGAGTATAATGAACTTTCCATTGCTGCTCCTTCAGAAAAAGTTTCTGACAACTCTATGTTGCATTAATTATTATTTGTGGTAAAAACCATGTTGTCTGAAGATGTGACCATGTCTCTATAGGACGTTTTAGCTTCTTCACCATCATGGAGTGTTGGAGATCGAAGGTTAATGTTAGGTGGTTTGGGGGAAATTGAGGAAGAGGATTCATAGGGTTGAGGGTTCATAGGAGAGAAATCATAGAGAGTATCCAATTCGGTATGATCGTTAATCTTTTTTGAGGAGGTGTCAAGTAATTCTTTTAACAATATAAATATCGTCGTATCATTATCTTTAGTTAAAACCAGTTTGATTGTTTTTCTTAAACCAATTTAGATATCATCAAACCAAAAAAACGAATTAACATGATCCACCTTATTATGAATACTATGAGTGAATTTAATTTGACGGAACTCATTTTCTTTTCCATGAAAAATATATTTTCCTGAAAAACTCTCTGTTTTAGGTATTTGATTGTTGAGTGAAACATTTTACTTAGTACTTAGATATACTAAAAAAATCAATAATAATATCAACACACCGAAGAGTATTATAAGTAACACTTTTGAGTTCTAAAGATTAATAATAATGTATAAGTGTTCTTTCGAGCAAATAATGTATAGTTAACGTTCAAATAGTTATTGATAAACAAGTCGCCTATCCAAGCCTCCAATTAAGGGCACATTCTGGTTAACAAATTATAGAAAGAAGAAGTGGAAAATTTGGAAAAAATTAAGAAAAAGAAGACAAGCATATGCACCAACTCATTACGGATCTTTTTATGCTTATGCAATTCAGCTTTTTTTGAAAGTATTCAATAGCAAAATCTTTTAGAATTAGCAGCTTGCATCCTCTAGAGGCTTTCTTTGTGCATAAATCCCTTTCTTCTAAGAAGAGTTTGGGAATGAAATAAATTCCTAGCTTATCAGGAAAAAAAAAGGCAAAGAAAGTTGCAGAGTTATTTTCAGGGGCGGATTTAGGGGTTACACTGTATATATAAGGCAAAATTTATTTTTTATCTCTATATATTAAGTTTTGAACACCCTTAACATCAGGACTGGGCATATATCGGATAAAACCGATAACCTGAACCGTTAATTTTTTATTGGGTTATCGATATCGGGTTATTGGGTTAACGATTCGGTAACGGTTTAGAATTTTTTTACTATTGGGTTATAGGTTCGGGCCTCAGTTTGCCAATTTTGTTAATGGGTTAACCGATAACCCAATAAGAATTAATAAAATTACGACTTTATCCTTAATTATATACAATGTTAGGGCTTCAGTTCATTCACTCCTATTCTTTCTCAACCCCATTCTTCAGTTGCTTCATCTTCATTCTTCGTAGACCTTACTAGTTACTCCTAGCGTAAGTCTTTAGTATGCTATATGTGAATTCTTCTTTTTTTTACTTAACTCCGGTGAATTGTCTTTTCTTTTTTGCTTAACTCTTGATTGAGTTATCTTATTGGGTAAACCGATAACCGGACCGATAATGATTGATAACCGATTAACCGATACCCGATACCCGATATCTTATCAATTCGGTTATCGGTTTATCAAATTTGTAAACCGATAACCGATATGCTAAACCGATAATATTCATAACCGAACCGAACCGACCGATGCCCACCTCTACTTAACATAATCCAAAAGTGTAATTTAGTGGTAAAGGGGGTTCAAAATCTACATAAGGTCATGGGTTCAATTCCCACTAGCTACAAAAAAAAATTTTTGAACCCTCTTCGTGGAGATCCTGGCTCCGCCACCGGTTATTTCCTCTAAATCCAAAGTCAACAGAAATGGTTAATCATACTCTAGCAGCATTGTGGGAACTATTACACATCGGTTCTCTAGCTTTTGTTATAATAGCTCTGCTTTGACTCCACTAATATTCTCGAATATACTGAAATATCTTCACTAATATATACTAAAAAACTCAATCACCTAATCTTGTTCTGTTTTCTCTCTTGCATCTTCAGTTTCATAAACCTCAAAAATGCTTTGACTTGGTTTGCTTAGGGTCTAGTGTGCGTCTTCCTGTAAAAATGTTGGGTTTCGATGGTCCTGTCTCTTCATGAACCGCGAGAACGGCATCTGCAATAAGAAGTTTTGTTTAGTCAGATGAAAAGATACCAGACAGATTCAGACATTTTGCACCCTTTTAATTACTAACATTTTGCGTTCTTATTTCATACCTTCAGACAAGTCATTCTTGGCTAATGATTCAATATGTTTTGGGCATTTCCTCTTCGCTTTAGGTCCACAAGCATCAGCAATAGGCTCACTGTCGAGAGAATGAACTCTTCCTTTCTTTACAAAGATAAAAGATGACTAAATTAGTAGTAGTAAACACAATGCAGAATCAGGCATGAGTATAGCAAGATAGCTCGTGCTCTAATTTCTTGTGAGCTCATCAATAAATATGAGGAAATTCACCATATCACAACAAACAACAACTACTACTACTATTACGCCTCAATAGTGTAGTTTGGTAGGACGTATTAGGAAAAAGAATACATGTATTATAGCTTTGTTATTATTAATTCCTTGCTTGGTAGTATTTTTCAATCTATGTTAACTAATACATGTATTAGTTATAAACTCTATTCAGTACTATTGTTATACATAGCAAACCATATCTTTAACAATACATGAATAAGCATGTATAAAGACATAACTGCCCTTTCAAAACCTTTTTCAAATTCTTTCTAAAGAATGTGGAGGGTATTATTGCAACAAATAAAATTTAAAAAATTATGTAATTGCATGTTATTTTTAATACACCAAACCAAACAGTCGATAAGAAATAATCTCTGCATAACAACAACAACAACAACAACAACAACAACATAGCCAGTGGTTTCCCACAAGCGGGGTTTGGGGAGGGTAGTGTTTGCGCATATCTTACCCCTACCCTAGGAGAACAGAGATGTTGTTTCCGGTAGACCCCTCAACTAAAGAAAATAAGAAACAAAGCAGTGGCAACAAGCAGTAATAACAACAAGATATTAAGAAAACTGAAGCAAAAGATACAATCAAACATCAAGTAATAATAACAATTCAACAATCAAAGAATACCATACTAACACTAATACTACCGGTAAGGGGGGCGAAAAGGAGAATCGCTCGACTACCTACTAACTTTCTATCCTAATCCTTGACATCCACACACTCCTATCACGGATCATATACTAGCTTACCAAAAACGACCCCTTAGTATGGTAATTTCTAGAGAGGATACTAGCTATTTCGAGATATAATTAGCGACGAATACTGATCAGGGGCAGAGCTAGAGCGCGGGGAGCGGGTTCAGCCGAACCTAGTAGCTTTGGTCGAATTCTGTATTTGTCTAAAAACTTCATTGAACATGTATAAACTATTAATTTAGAACTCACTAACTCAAAATGATTAGAATTCCGAACCCATAAGCTTGAAATCCTGACTCCGCATTTGATACTCATGTTTATATCGATTAAGATACAATATATGTCAAACATTAAAAATAAAAAAGAAGAGTAAAGGTTCTTAAACAAATAAGCTAAAGGAAAAGACACCAGACATACCTTCAGATGATCACTCAAAAGGGACATGGGCAATTTCCTATCATTCAATATAACATTGTAGTTACTGGAAAGCCGGTTTTGGATCTCTTCTCTAAACAATTCCAATTTCTTCTGACTGATCACCCGAGTATTGACTGTAAAGGCCGAAAATCATATCCTTATTCAGACGTATCAATATAATTCTTTCATACACGAAACAAAATATCTATTATGAGCAAATTAATCCGCCAGATGTATAACAATATATAAAACATTAATACTGCCTGCATGCCAGTTAATGTAGAACTTTTCACTAATAATGCCAATTCGACCAATACTAGAGTTAATTCAATAGTTTAAACCAGATTTAGATAAACAGTATATATATATATATTGCAAACTTTTTGGGAATAGAACATACTGAACCAGCGGGGATCAGGCTGTATCCGCGTTGACGGAAGCTTCTTCGACTGTAGATCGTGCTTTATGATTTTTCCCTTATGGCCACGCTTCGGCCTGCTATTATACATCTTCAGCCGCCGATTAGTGGCAGCACTACGTTGATTTTTCTTCTTCGCCATTTTGATTGTGAAAATAAAAATGAGACTTTCTGTAACCCTTATGCCGCTGCGAAGGGAATGCAAACTGAATATACGGAGGTTATTCATTTTGTTCTGGAAATTACACAAAGCGCTTCTACCTTTGGCTTATTTATATTTTGCATCCTAGATCTTTTATATTTGTGTTATAAATATATTATATTATGGATGTTCATTTAGTACTCTGTTGTAAATAAGCTTCCTG